AGAAGACCCCTGGTACACTCAGACTTTTGCTTTGATCCCGGAAAAACCGCAGGGGATATTAGGTCTGGGCCTGGAAGACCGCAGGAAAATTTTTTAACTGTCCTGGAAGACCGTTGGGTATTTTAGGTCTGATCCTGGAAAACCGTTGGATATTTTAGGGCTTGAGCTGGAAACCGTGGAATGTTGGTCTTAGTCCGGAAGACCGCTAGGATATGTGTAGGTCTTGATCCTGGAAGACCGCTAGGATATGTGTAGGTCTTGATCCTGGAAGACCGTTAGGATATGTGTAGGTTTTGATCCTGGAAGACCGCTAGGATATGTGTAGGTGTTGGTCCTGGAAGACCGCTAGGATATGCTTAGGTCTTAGTCCTGGAAGACCGCTAGGATATGTGTAGGTCTTGACCATGGAAAACCGCTAGGATATGTGTAGGTCTTGATCCTGGAAGACCGCTAGGATATATGTAGGTCTTGGTCCTAGAAGACCGCTAGGATATGTGTAAGTCTTGATCCTGGAAGACTGCTAGGATATGCTTAGGTCTTAGTCCTGGAAGACCACTAGGATATGTGTAGGTCTTGATCCTGGAAGACCGCTAGGATATGTGTAGGACTTGATCCTGGAAGACAGCTAGGATATGTGTAGGTCTTGATCTGGATCCTAGAAGATCGCTAGGATACATGCAGGCCTCGACCTTGATCCTGGAAGATACTGATACGTACAGAACTCGACCTTGATGATGGAAGACCGCTGGGATACATGCAGACCTCGACCTTGAACTTTCACTCCAAATGTTATGTTAGAATTCCTGCATGTCTGAAAACACGCTTCATTATAACTTTTAACTCTGAAATATGAGAGACAGATGACAGGGCGTTGACAGCAAATGACGATAAGCTGCGTGTGGATGGGCAGGGCTACAGGAAACACCAGTTTTTATTGTAAGTTTTCAATATTATTATAATTATAGGTGTGTATAAAGTGTTTTAATTGTAAAGTTTAACACAGTAGTAGTAGGACACAGGTATAATTTGTTTACAGATAAATTTTTTATTTTTATTTTTAATTCCTAGTTTGAATACGAGAATTTGTTTTTGAATGATATAAAGTTTGCTGATCACTTATATTGATTAATAATAATAATAATTATTATTATTTATTAAAATTATATTTTATTGTAAAGCGCTAAACCCGTGTGGGTTACTCAACGCAAGTAGTAGTGGAGGCTCGATCCTCCAACCCTTAATCAAGGGTTGTTGCTAAATGCCTCAGTCAGGTTGAGCAACGGTGACTCTGGGGGCCCTGGATGATCGATGAGTTATACTCTTATGTTCATGCAATAATTTGGAAGATGATTTCTGTAGTTGATTGTGAACTTCGAGCGATGAAATCAATATGGCCGGGACTACACACACTTAAAGGTGTCTTCGTTATTTTTTTTTTTTTTTTGACGAATGTACTTAGGTGAAGCTAGATTAGGGAGCTTTGTGTCCTCTGATACTTGACATTAGGGCCGACCGCTACTTCATCGGCTGCTTTGGTATTATCAGTCGGCCCATTAATTTCATTCGTGTAACAATACTGACGGCGACTAAGTTCGAAGACTTGTAATCTCTTTATGTCAGATTTTATATAGTATCACAGTTGTTCTAGTCACTACGACAGCTGCTCTTCCCTCCAGTCTACCTGTCAGTGCTTGACGTAGTCTGCATACAACGTGTCTCAGGGCCAGTTCTTTTGGATTCATTAAGTTATCGATTATTTATTATTTATATAGGAAATTTTCGTTCCTTGTATCATTTATTAACCTGCACGGGTGTCTCAAATGTTATACGAGTTTCGTTCGTTAGGTGCGCCTTAACTTTAATCATGAATTGAGTGTTATTAACTATAGGTAATTGATTTTATACATTTATAACTGTATATAAGAAGTTATTTGATATCACGCTGCTTCCCTGTACTTACCTCACACGCTTTGCATCACCGATCACCTGTCATCGGGATCAACAGATCTTATCACTCAGGCGTGTTTTAATGGTAAAGTAGTATGTACCGGATATCTGGTGACTGGCTAATCTTATTTTACGATTTTCATGGAGTCTGATAAGAACTTTTTATGAATTTCAGATCATGATTTGGCTGTATATATACCAAAGAAAACGATGGTAAGGATGGGTTTATTTTAACCTATGAATCTGAGATCAGATTCATAAAACGTTCTTATCAGACTCCATGAAAATCGTAAAATAAGATTACCAAGTTACCAGAAATCCGGGAAATACCACTTTACCATTAAGAAACACCTGAGTGATAAGACTTGTTGATCCCGATGACGGGTGGTCGGTGAGATTTGAGCCGGGCGATAATACTGTGAGGTTCCTGTAAGTCTTGTGAGTGATGACTGGCACTTACACTGCTATGGCAAAATCAACGAGTGATCCCTGATGTAGTCAGCCAAGGAAACGATGGTTTTATTCTGATCTCTGGAAATAATTTTAATCTAGTAATCATTCTTATATGTAATAATCATTCTAATCATTCGGATTTGTAGTAATCATTCTAATTATTCTAATTTATGGTAATCAGCGTAATCCGCGGGTCCGTGGACATGCTATACGTACACATGGGTCAGGTATGTAACTCTGACCATTAACTGATGAGGCCAACAAAATTACCCTTTCAGTTCTCACGTTACTTCCCACAATTCCCACTACAAGAGCGTAGATAACGCGTCGCCCAAAATGTGGTTGAGGACGTTTAAAGCATGATTTAGCCAGTTACATAAATTAGCACAATATTAGGTTAGGTAAGGGTCTTAGTCACGTAATGACCCACCATTGGAGTTTCTGGTCATCTGACCGAGGCCTTCCGCTGGCTTACCGGTCCACCCCTTTAAAAATTATGGTCATAGTTATTACCATTAAGTTATATCTCTTACTAGCGTTCTATGTATAATGATATTTTTTTCTTCACTATTTTCATCCCCGTGAACTTGGAGATTTTCGAGAATATTATTGGCGCATTTAAATTTGAGCGGGAAGGTACTATATGACACTTATGGGTTTAGCGCTACCCCATGAATATTATAATAATAGTGTAGCATGATTAAGGTTACACAGGGTTCAGCTGTCTAGTGTCGGCTTCAGTATAATTTTTTAATGGTGTCATAATGTGAAATGGTTGGATACACAAGAGCTGGTGGTGGGTGTCAATGTATTGTAGTGGATGTAATAGACTTAGGTCAGTTATAATGGGAGTGACTTAATTATGATGGGGCGGTGAGTTGTACCGCTGTGGGTGTATCGTGGTTATGTGGAGGGTGGTGCGTGTGTGTGGACATGTGGGGGAGCTCTGTGTTGCTGGATTACCTCCGATCCACACCTCACTTGCTCACCCACTTACGCTCATTCACTCCTCGTTTCCTCCCAGCCCCGCCACCACCGGAACCACGCTAAAGCTATCCCATTCATTAGCATTATTGGTTTATTCTGTACACCAAACATGAATTATTGCTTTCACCGTTCTATTTCCTCTTGTACCACACGTAGTGTCGCTGTGCCTGTGTAGCCAAAACCTCCATTGCTGGTTAGAAATGTTAACACTTATCGATTTCACATTCCGCGGATCGACAACAACCTTGATGCGCTCAGACGGACCTCGTGTCCTGTTAAGCGAGTCACGGCGCTGGTGACCAGTACCAAACACTTACGGTGTTTCATCAACAGTTTTACCTGTGGTCACGTCTGGCGCTCAGTACTAAGTGACAGCTCACCACTGTATGAGCAAACACCGCCCACGCGGTATTACGTCGGTTTGAAACAGGATCAGGATTCTGGTCACTTCACCGTCACAGTCATGCAGTGCGGTACGAATATAATGCCATTACTCATGTCCGTATTTCGTAAGATTTGTATAACTTTTTATGAAGCACAAGAAGTTGTGGAGACTATTCCTTTGCTAATTGCGTCCCGGTTTCTGTCTAATAAGAATGTTGATACCAATATACATTGAACAGTAAGAACTCCCGTCATGAAGGACAAACTGGGCCAGATAGTTAGCTGATGTCAACTTGTACTAGTGTGTATATATCACAGTCACCTTGAAGTGGCATTTGGCTGGCTCTTTTTATGTCTCCTTTCCTTCCCCTCTTCCCCCTACCTTCATGATATTATTTATGCTGCTGATTTTTATTGAGAAATTGAGTGTTTCAGATTGTACGTGCGAATGTTTTTATTGGGCAGAGCCCTTAGGGACCTTTTACTCAAATTGCTTTGTAATTTTTGCAGTCCCCATACCACTCAAGTCTTTAAAGTATTTCGTTGTAAATAATGCCATTATTATCGTTTAGTTGTACTCACATTTTGTATCACTTCAGAGGTGTGTTTCACAAGTGTGTGCTTGTTAGTCTGCGGAATGTAACATTGATTTCTCCCTCTCATGTCTCTCGGCACCCAGAGCATGTTTTGTATGCCTTTCTTAAAGAGTTATTAGTAGATATATCTTACTGCCTTTTACTATTTAAAACCTCTATACTTTGTTTAAATGACTTGTATCTCGGTATCTCGGATGTAGCTACATCTCAGATGTATTTAAGTAGAATTACACGTAACTTTTTCATCATATAAGTGGAGTTATTTTTTTGGTAACTTGTTAAGCTAATATCCACACATACGTTAATTAGGTTGGGTATGATTGGGTAGATTATCATTAATTCCAGATTAGTATTTCTAGGAGTAGGTAATACCAGTGTAACGACAGACCGGCTAAAACGGCATTTTTGGTATTATACGTATCTTAGTTATACCTAGGAAAAAAAATGTTACCTTTTTGACTTCCTCGTCAAAGGAGAAACCATTGCTTATTTTTCCGGCTTCTCTGATTTGTGTGATTGAGGTAATACCGGAGCCAGTGATGTCTAATTGAGGTGTTACCGGTGTTAGTGTCGTGTGACTGAGGTGACGCTGATGTTATGTTGTGTTTATGATGTTACGTTAATGTGTTGCAGCGCTACGAGGAGACAGTGGAGGTGGTCACCAAGGAGGACAGTGATGGGAACGTGACCAAGACCACCAAGACCACTACTAAGGCCCTGGACCCTTACTCAACCACTGAGATGGCCGCCGCTATTAACGGTCTGTATCACTCTCTCTCTCTCTCTCTAAGTTGATTGGGACGTCATCATAACGATTAGGCACAACTAGAAACTAGAAGGTAGCGAGTAAAAGGAATACATTTGGAAGGATTAAAGGAAAGCCAACGCAGTTCATAGATTGAGAATTAGATATGACAGCCTCCCCCAAAAAAAGATAGCGGGGAATGAGCCTCTCTGGATAAGTGCAAAGATAGGCCCAACAGCTATGGCTCAGTCTCTGCAAGCACAAGTGTATAAAGAGGCGAGGCACCTAAGTTTGTGTTTTTGGTCTTGCAGACCCCAAGACATCGCGGAAAGGTCATCGTAAGTCGTCCTCTTCGTCCTCGTCACCGTCACCAGACCGAGCCAAGTCCTCTGGAGCCAGCGCCAAGGTGAGGTTGTATGGTCCCAGCACCAGCAGGGTGTCCCCTGGAGCCACCTAGCAGGGTGACAGCACATCCAGTGGGGAAGGGTGGCACGTAATAATGTGAGAAGGATATCCTGGGTGTACCGGGGTGTTGGTAGTAATGATGGTGGTGGTGACGAGGAGTTTGATGGTGGTTATGTTTGTAGTAATGTGTTGCTATAAGGGTGGAAATGTATAAAAACAATCCTTAGTGTTAAACAAAGCACAGAAGGAAATAAAAGAAAATGTAAATACAAGAGAAATTGTATGTACATTACATTACATAGAATCACCTGTGACCTCCTCCTTTCTACCCACCAACATTTTCCTTCTTTCCACCCTCCCTTCCGTCCTACTTCCCTCATCTTTCTACCTCCAGACCCTACCTCTCTTCCACTCGCCTCTCCCTCCCATCACTTCCTCTTATTCCTTTCTTATTACCTCCACTCCTTCAGTCCTCCTACCCCTTACTTCCTTCCTTCCTTCCTTCCTTTCTCCCACCTTTCCTCCCTCCCCTCGGGTTCTCCCCGCCTCACTAATCTCTCCCCCGCGCCCGCTGCAGGAGACAGGCAAGTCTAGCAAGAGCAGCTTCAGGATCAAGCTGAGGAGTGGCAAGACTGACGACGGTGACTCCAGCGACGACGACGATGACTTCGCTAAGGGAGTCCATAAGAAAGTCAATCATTACAGGAGCAAACACGGAGTCTCCAACCTCAAGCTTAATAAGGAGGTGGGTAGTGGTGGTGTAGGCGTGCCTGATGGTGGAATGGAGGGGGCGTTGGTGTGGGAGTGGGTGGCAGAATGTGTGTGAGGGGATGTATAAATGTGGTGAAGGTTGTGGGTTTGGTTCTAGGTGGGTATGAAAAATAGGTGATTGATGTAAATGTGTTGAGGACTGTGAGGGGGGGGGAGGAATGGATGGGTAAGTGTGTGTGTATATGGATGTGGGTATGGATGTGGGTATGGATGTGGGTGTGGATGTGGATGTGGATGTGGAGTGCACAACAGCACCAGCAGCCAGCCAATATGGAAACGCATCATGAAACAGAAAATTTAAAATTTGTTTGAGTTTCCTTTGATAAGTTTTGTTGAGTATTATATACTATACAAGACGTGAAAGGTCTTATTATTATTATTTTAAGTTATTCAGTTCTTCGCATTTTTATATTTGTTTTATTAATATTTGCTTACCAAAACCTTATCTTTATTTTTTTTTATTTTACATCTGTCACTGATATTCTGTATCTGCCTGGTGGATATGAATAATGACAAATATGAGTAATGGATGACAGTGAATGGACATATAGACTATTATAGATGATAGGTGGATGAAGAATTATGTGTGGATGACTATCTACTCATGTGATCACGTAAATGTTTAGTCTGAATGAGAAAGAATAACTAAAATGCAAACAAGGAATGATGGGAATGATAAAAGAGGGAAAAAAATATGAATACAGTACAGGAATTATGACACGAGCACAGAAAATGATGTTGATGGTTGTGGTTGAAGGGGTGTAAGTGGCGCCAGTACCCCCAAGTGTTCTCTCCCTTTAATACTGCTTCCCAAGAAGCACTGGCGCCACTTCCTTTCCCCCACAACTTCCCTCTGATTTCCATTTTCTTCGACTTTCTGGCGCCATTATTCCCCCCCCCCGTCACCATACAGCTACTGGCACCACTACCCCCATAGAGCTGCAAGCCACTCTCCCCCTATGCAGCTACTGGCACCACTACCCCATATAGCTACCAGTGCTACCACCTACCCCCAGTACACCCACCAGCGTTACTACCCCCATACAGCCACCAGCGCTACTACCCCCATACAGCCACCAGCGCTACTATCCCCATACAGCCACCAGCGCTACTTTCCACATACAGCCACCAGCGCTACTACCCTTTTACAGCCACCAGCGCTACTACCTCATACAGCCACCAGCGCTAATACCCCATACAGCTACCAGCGCTACTATCCTCATACAGCCACCAGCGCTACTACTCCATACAGCCACCAGCGCTACTACCCCATACAGCTACCAGCGCTACTACCCACATACAGCCACCAGCGCTACTACCCTCATACAGCTACCAGCGCTACTACCCCCATACAGCTACCAGCACTACTACCCGCATACAGCCACCAGCGCTACTACCCCCATACAGCTACCAGCTCTACTACCCCCATACAGCTACCAGCGCTACTACCCGCATACAGCCACCAGTGCTACTACCCTCATACAGCTACCAGCACTACTACCCCCATACAGCTACCAGCTCTACTACCCCCATACAGCTACCAGCGCTACTACCCGCATACAGCCACCAGCGCTACTACCCTCATACAGCTACCAGCGCTACTACCCCCATACAGCTACCAGCGCTACTACCCCCATGCAGACACCAGCGCTACTACCCCTCCCCTACAGCCACCAGCGCTACTACCCCCATACACCCACCCGCGCTACTACCCCCATGCAGCTGCCAGTGCTACTACCCTTCATACAGCCACCAGCGCTACTACCCCCTTACAGCTACCAGTGCTACTACCCCTATACAGCTACCAGCGCTACTACCCCCATACAAGTACCAACGCGACTATCCCCATACAGCTACCAGTGCTAATACCCCCCATACAGCTACCAGCGCTACTACCCCCTCATACAGCTACCAGCGCTACTACCCCCATACAGGTACCAGCATTACAACCCCCATACAGCTACTGGCGTTATTTGCTGAAACAGAAGAGTCGAGACGGTAGTTGTCAGTATTTGTTTAGGTTACTGTATATGTGGCAGATATTTGCAATAGAGAATAAACAGTGTAAAGTGTGTGTGGAGAGAAGATAAACGCTGCAGCACCAGATCTTAGCACACAGCAGTTTACAAGAGTCTAGAATACTATAGACGTGTATGGTTGTAGCACGTTGTAGCTAAGTCTGGAAGCATTTTACGAAATAAATAAGGATTTGCTGCAATTAGGTAAGCTAATCTGTACGTGAGGATACCACTGTAAAGGCAGTTATGCCTGTGTATTGAAACGACCAAGAATGGAGTTAATATCGCAAATGGAGTGTCACATATTGGGGGTATAAATGTCAATATCAGGGCAACGTTATTTGATGCTCAAGGCAGAATCTTTTTTTTTGTTTTAGTTACCCTTCTCTTTCCGTATCTAGTTTATGGAGATAATTTACTATTATTATATTGGGCTAGGAGCTAGCCTGTTATGGTGGGTAGTAGTCAGTAGGCTAAGCAAGGCTCAGGGGTGGATAACACCTCGAGCAAGTGATTTCAACAGAGGTAAAAGACACATACGTTTCGTTACGTGAGACTTATGAAGAAGTCATTCATGGCGAATTTTTTCTATAGTAAATGTGTTAATCAGTACATAGGTGTCTTACCTACAGCCTCTCAGTACCAGCGATACTAAGACCATTGTTTTTTTAACAATCGTCTTCGTCTTTCCTCCACCCAAAAGTTGGTCAACACCTACCCAGCTCTTCACTTGATGGAGTGAACTATGCCCCATTGCCACAGAGTGTAGAAATTTAGTGGAAAAAATGGAATTGCTTAAACAAATAAATGCAATTGGCTCCAGTGTAAAAAAAAAAATACTCCGTTTTTTTCGCATCCTTCCCCTCAAATGTTTCTGCCGTAGTCTGCCACCTAGTTCACATAAAGGGTCGCTCCACAATGGCTAATAATGCCTTTATGACTGTGTCACTCACAGAATAATTGACGGTGTCCAGTAACCTAGCCTATCTTCCCTATCCAGGTAACCTCCGGGCGAAATTTGAAATCCGCTTGTGAGACACCAGAAGACTACACTAGTGTTAAAGAAGTGTGTGTGCGTTAGTTATCATTTGTTAAAGGCACTTGTTGGTAAGACACTTGGCGTGTGTGTGTTTGTCTCCCGACCTACTTCCAGAGCGTTGGCCTTGCTACCTACTGATATATTAATGGCGCTCGATATAGATTTCGTTGTGTTGCACACTGATAGTGGCTTCTAGCACCAACATAACGTTATGTTCATTCACAGTGATACGTTATTGGAACCATTGTCTCTGGTACCAGAGGAAGACCACTACTGATATCCAATTTATATTCGTGGGGAAGCCCTAAACCCACAGAAGTCACACACCGCCTGGGAAATGGAAATCAATCAGGTTCAATCCGGGGAAGGGAAGGGGAGCTCCAGTTCTACGAATCACGAGCTCTTGAACAAGTTCAAGACGTCCTCATGTTGAAGGGTGCGGTACTCTCTTATTGCAATAATAAAGCAAGCGCTGTATGCCTTACAGGTTTAGAGCTGTCCGTGGCATGGTAATTACTCTTCCCCTCCATAATGAGAAACCCCAGTTCGATCCTCAACCCGGCGGGGGTCAACCAATTGCTGAGTGAGCTCTGCATTCCTTGTTAAATTTAACCTTAGCCTTTGATAAAACAGGTTAAATTTAATTTTAAACTTGACCAAAACAGGGTAAATTTAACCTTACCCTTAACAAAACAGGTTTAATTTAACCTTACCCTTGACAAAACAGGTTTAATTTAACCTTACCCTTGACAAAACAAGCTTAATTTAACCTTACCCTTGACAAAACAAGTTTAATTTAACCTTACCCTTGACAAAATAGGTTAGATTTAATCAGCCTTGGCAGAAAAAGGTTAAATTTACTATCTATTGGCAAAGCTATTCATATTAGTGTTTGAACTGCGTGATAACAGTTTAGTTTCACTTCGCCTTCAAACAAGCAATGATTTAAACTCCGGTAGTCATGCAAATATTTAATTCGGTCTCAGTTTTGACAAACATTTGTTACGTTTAGCATTAACCATGACAAGCAAGTGACAACCTTTATTCTTTTTTTTTTTTAAATGAGCGCAACCTTGACAAAAATGATTAGATTAAAATGCATAAACTTGGAAGTTATACATATATTAAAAGTTATGGTCCTCCCCTACCATTCACAAACACATTCTCTCTCTCTCTCTCTCTCTCTCTCTCTCTCCTCTCTCTCTCTCTCTCTCTCTCTCTCTCTCTCTCTCTCTCTCTCTCTCTCTCTCTCTCTCTCTCTCTCTCTCTCTCTCTCTCTCTCTCTCTCTGATATTATATATATATATATATATATATATATATATATATATATATATATATATATATATATATATATATATATATATATATATATATATATATATATATATATATATATACACATACATTCAGAATTTCACCATGAGGTGAAAATATATGAAACTGTATTGCCTGATCTTGAGTGATGTGATCATGAGGGTAACACCTGACGTTAAGTGTTCTGACCCTGGAAAGTTTGAGATCCATTGGTCTCAGCGCTTACTCTATTGTCCAGCCTTTTGTGACGATGATTGTTGACTGAGCGGTAAGCAGTTGGTCACAATGAAGTTATATGTCAGCATACACCACTGCTTGTGTTTCCTCCTGGAATACTTTTGTGTTTAAACACAATACTTGTTTATACATCTTCCAGTTTCTCTCACAAATATTTTTTTTTCTGGACATTGCTTTCCAGGCAGGAAGAACACATTAACGTCAACGTTATCATTAGGTTTACTTTTGACAATGTTGATAGCGTTATTGTGTCCGTATGCTACACAAATCTTTGATTTCTTTCAACTTTTTATTGTAAGGCAACATTAAACATTTAATGAAGTCTTTAGATGTAAGACTGGGAGTTAATTTAGCGCTCTGAAAATATCACGTATTTTAGATAATTCATAATCTATATAATTTGGCTCACACACACACACACACACACACACACACACACACACACACACACACACACACACACACACACACACACACACACACACACACACACACAAGAAACTGTTAAGACCATAGACAGTATTACTGATTTTTTTTAACTTGACATGAGAAGTAGTGTATGAGCTCAAGTGTCTTATATTTACTGTTTTCTTAACATTTATATCAACTACGTTGATAACAACAAGAAAATGGAGTTAACCTTCGGTTTCCAATTCATATTTGAATTTGATGGAAGGATGTCAGGCGTTTAATTTATCCGAAGTGACAGAATGTTGCCCTTCTGGCCACACTGAGTTAATGTTATCTATATACCTCAGCCAGGTTGATCCCTGGCGTAATACTTTTACCAATAGTTTGGTCTCGAAGTATATAAATAAACCGGTCATAAATGAGCTGAGAAGATTACTCACTGCAAGACCATAGGTCTGCCTGCCTAGTATTGTTAACTGAATATATCAGTTACACAGTCTTGACAATAAATGGATTAGTTTGCTTTCTAGTACTCGTAGCTTTATTCTAGATTAAGATTCGGCTAAATTCTTCTAAGACAGTTCATAGATTTCTCGATGGGAAACTAAAGAGAAAATTAATGGCAAGACTAGCAAGTATCTCAGGTGGCAAATCTAACTGTTTTGATGAATTTTAGGCTGTTATTTATATGGGAAGTAGAAAAACGGTCGGCGGCAAGAGGAAGGTGTTTGGCCAACCAATTCTGACAATTTATAGGTCACATAATTGACAATGTACTTATAAGCGCAACTAGTGAGTATCTATCTCTTTTTTTTATTGGTAAATTATACATGTACGGAAGAGACTTATTCAGGCATAGTTATGGTTTTGTTAGGGGTAATCTTGTAAGTCCAATCTCGACCAATTTATTTATGGAATACCAAATTAATACCATAGGTATTAATTAAATCCGAACCAAATGTGTTTGTAGTATGTAGATGACATTATCTCAAGTGTGACTTGAATGAAAGAAAAATGTATTGGGGAAGAATGAATGAGGGAACTGGAGGTTAAAACTGAATGAAGGAACCTGGGGGGAAGAATGAATGAGGGAATAACCTGATTGTAAGTGAATAAAAGAACAATTAGGGAAGAATGAATGAGTTACCAGGAAAGAATGAACGAGGATAAGTGATGAATGAATAAAAAATAATGAAAGTCAAATGGACAGCGTAAAGAATGACGCTTTTTTTTTTTGTCAATGTTTTCCTGCACCTTGAGCCACAACATGACCTTGCTAGTCCACTTTATAAACATCTGCCCTAAGCACAATACTTTCTTAATTAACAAGTTTGGTGAGAGCCAAATACGTGCCAGGATTAATTAAGATATGATGATAGGGGAGTGGTAGCTCCTGTGTATGTATGATTTAATGTGTATACACTGTTATTAGTGTGTGTGTGAGAGTCACTGTTTATGCTGCTTCCTGATCTCTTCTGTATATTAAAAATAACTACATTTACCATGATGTTATTAACTTGTTCTACTCTCTCTGAGTTGGAGCACTCACAAATTATTTCTATATTGTTCCACTTCTCTGTAGTTACACTTCGGAGGTGAGACGTGCCCCTGCAGTCCGCTCTAGTATTATTAATTGGATTTGATCTTATTTTTTTCCAGGATGCAACCAGTTGCTCTTTTTTTTGTGTGTGTACTCACCTGTTTGTGGTTGCAGGGGTCGAGGCATAGCTCCTGTTTCTTTGTGTGTGTGTGTGTGTGTGTGTGTGGTGTGTGTGTGTGTGTGTGTGTGTGTGTGTGTGTGTGTGTGTGTGTGTGTGTATGCGTGTGTGTGTGTGTGTGTATGTGTGTGTGTGTGTGTGTGTGTGTGTGTGTGTGTGTGTTTGTGTGTGTGTGTGTGTGTGTATGTGTCTGTGTCTGTGTGTCTGTGTTTAAAAATCCTCACTGAAAATATTAAACAGAAGTATCTAAGCGATTTCATAAACTTACACAAACATCTTCAGAGGAACTAGAAAGAAAAATACGGGAAGCACATTTTGTAGGCTCCTAAGAGAACCGACATCCTTCATGTTTTAAGTTTAAATGTAGAAATGCATGCACAAAGGAACACGTAATATTCGGAATTTAAATTGTCTTACATTACTGTCCGTGCACGTAGCACTACGAGTCAGGTCGTTACATGAGCAAACAGTAGGACTCGTGCAGTGTTCCTTCACTTCACAGCTTGGACCAGTAGACCTACTGGAGTCATCTCACCTAGGAACCTACAAAATGTTTCCACTGATTCTTCTTTCTAGCTCCTCTGAAGATGTGTAAACCCATGAAATAACGCAGTTATTTCTGTTTATTGTTTTTAACTATATATATATATATATATAATATATAAAATATATATATATATATATATATATATATATATATATATATATATATATATATATAATTTATTATGTAAATGTAATTCTTTTTGTGTGTGTCATTGAAATATTTGGCTGGAGGAATAAACTATGTTGTTACGTGACGATGAACTGAAACTACATCTTTCTGCTCAGGTGTTCGTGGTGATGCTGCTGGTGAGGCTACTCTCTACATGTATATACTGCACTGTTATAACACTACGCTTCTACCTAATGTTTCGCCGCAGTAACAACCAGAACATTCTGGTTGTTTACCGAGCTAATACTTGTAAAATACATGTAATTTTAAATAACCGTCGGTTTTATGACCCGTATATGATGGCTTGAAATCTAATACGGTTTTAGTGGTACGTCTGTCGGCTAGTTCTTAGAGTATAATAAGTATATAATACAAAAACTCGTCATTGTGTGACAAAAACCACTCTTTAAAAACCCACCCAAAGTGGTCAGGCCACTTAACCTTTCTTCCTTCTCTCTTCCTGTCAACCCTCAACTTTTTTTTTGATGCTCTGTCCTACCCCAGTCCTTCCCATCCCCATTTTTGCCATCCCTCTTATGGCCTGAGAAGAAAGTTATATTTACCATGTCAGGATAAATAATTATGTTAAAATTTACGAACTCATTTCTTGTAAAGATTTTTGTGTACATTTCATAGTTTTTTTTTTTTATGGGAGGCAGGAGGGTCCCTGGGGTGTGAGGCCGTGAACACCCCTCGCAAATATAAAATAATGGCGGGTAATTTAGAAATTGCGGGTATATTGCGATTTATCATACGAATATGAATTAGCTTATGCATTGAATATATGGAATTACTTTGGATGTACGTATTGAGTGGTAGTACAGGGGGCTGGAGGCCTAGGTTACCCTGAGAGGGCAGGATAGAGTGTGCACTTGGCCGTGACCTGGTTAATGTGGTGAGTGACCTCGATGCTGGGGGTCTTCAGTACGCCACACCGGTAATTACTGCTAACGTTCCGTGATTCCTGTTTATGCTGCTTCAATTAAGCAGGGAGAGTATTAATAATTCACTGGAGGTGGTAGGCGACCTTCACCTACTTAGACATACATGTAGTGTCTCCTGGTGTTGCTCTGTTGTCTGGGTGATCAACTCCGCCATATTTGGCACCGCTTGCCACAAACTTACATGGTTTATCTTGACGTTTATAATATTTTTCCTGGGTATTAACGCTTGGAAAATGGTTGTTTACTCTATTGTAGGGCAGCATATAATATTGTCACACGATATGCATGTGTAGCTGAATGTTAGTATAACAATAAGTCAAACCTATTTGCGTTTGTATGTAATTATTTAACTTGTGAAGACCGTGGCGCGTCGTACAGGTATGCTGTGAAGATGACACATTAGTGTGGGTCATCAATAGATGATTGACATGAGTGAGCATTTTGGCTTGGACCGCAGTTCCAGTAGTCATCGTCTCCCCTCTCTCTTCCTTAGAAACATTATCCGGTAATGAACTGACCGAGACTGGAATCTTATTCCATGTATACATATAAAACACCACAAATACGTATTAGTTACAGGGGTGTAATACACTTGCAGCACATCAAATATTCTGAAATTACAAGAAAACATTTGTTGCTGCATCAGTTCACATACGTACAGTGTGATAATGTTATAATCACATAATTGGTTGCTACACTTACACATTAAATTTGTGCAATGCAAATTAAATTACTTATAATTTGCGGTTTACTAATGGTTTCTGGTAGTGACAAAGTAACCAGGAAGGCGCGGTGTCATCTCTGGACGACAGTTGGATGGAAGACACTGCCGTCACTGTAACATTATGTTAACATGTAACACAGCCAACAGAGGTGTATGGTGTTAACGTGGCAGTATAGATTAAGTGTCACTGTAGCTGGTAACAAGTGGGGGTTAACCATACTAACATACTAACGATGGATTATTCTTCCTCCTCCTCCTCCATCCCTGTACTTTATCCTCCCTTTTCTGTGCTTTATCTAATTGGTCCGCTGCATTCTTGCTCATTTTCACTTTTTTAAATGTTCATCTTCAATGTTGTGACTTTGTTCAATATTGCTCTTAAATTTACTTTGACAAATATTATTTATCTTTTTGCTTTACTTTTGAAATCTGTTGTCAATATACTTCATATTTTCTTTTTAATCTTCACGTACTTGGTGCCCAATCTTTTCTGACTCTCGTTCCATTATTTTTGTCGCTGCTGTGCGTCTGCTTATTTGTCCAACCTTCCCTTCCTCTTCCTCTTCCTCATCCTCCTCACATTCCACCTCCTCCTCCTCGCTGCTTCATGGACACTCGCCCGTACGTCCTGTGATCACCCTCGCAACACCTGCTGTGTCTTCCCTTCCCTCTATATGACCATCGTGGGTTTCTGTGGTCTGTTCTACTGAGACCACCTTCGCCTACTGTGACTGCCTCTGTGGCCATCCCCACCCTACTGTGGTTTCCTCCTCACCTTCTCTGGCCGCCTCCTTCACCCCCTCCTGCAGATGAACAAGTACGCTAAAGAATGGGCCAAGAAGATGGCAGCCGACGACGCTTTGTCTCACCGCCCAGACAGCAAGTACGGCGAGAACGTCTTCTGTCTCAGCTCTAACACTAAGGATTTTAAGGCGAGTCATGTCACTCTTACTACACTGATTAGTCCCTAGATATTGTCTCTTGCATAAATGTTTGACAAATGAAGATATGCATAATTGCACTGCATAACTATGGACTTTCTGCGTTAACAGCTAAATGTCACCCATCTATTTAAATATTGTATCACGCTGAAATAAAATATTATTATTATTATAATTAGTAATATTTTGAACAAGTGTAGTGCCTGCACACTGAAGGATGAGCAGGGAGATAATGGTTCGGTGGATAATTTGGATCGTGATATCTGCACAATTTTTGAAAAAAAAAATTAGGTAACTAGTGATGTCGAATGCATTATTTGAAGTCCTTATTTTGTTTAAATACATCGGGCGTCCCTCACTAAGAAAGGGTATTTCAAAGAAAAAAAAACGCATTCACCATCACTCGTTTCTTTGTCTGCTTTCCAGAATGCACAGACATCACTACCCAAATAACCCACTGAACCACAACATCCCTCACTCATCCTTCAGAAAGTGCAGGCACTATACTTGTGCGTTATGCAGACCAAGCATTAGCTAGACGATACCATCACACATCAAATATTTCAGATGGGACTCTTATTTATTATTATTATTTATTATTATTATTTGCTGTCGAATGGAGAGGTTGATCATGGTAAGAGGTTGCTGAGTTTGGTAGAAAGGAATGGGGAAGATAAGATAGGACAAAACGAGAAATGATAAACCAGAAAATCACCGGCAGACAAAATTCTATCCTTTTTCTTGATAGTGGACTCAGTACTTAAGTTGTACAAGAATGGTATACAAGAATGGTACACAATTAAGTTGCATGAACGCTGTGAATTCGACAAGTGTCAACAAGGTGACCGTCCACAGCAGATGCGTTGGAGATGTAGAAACTAAAACCTTTTAAACAAAAAATGCGGGAGTGGAAAGTGTTCGAAACTGATTAAATAATTAATGGACAGTACAATGTAAAACGACACGTTCACTTAAAATTAAACACAAGAGGCGTTATTATGCTCCTGAGTTAAAAGATAAGACAGTAAGTGTTATTTAGGTGTATTAGGAAGTTATTACTGTAAGATCTGTCAAGGGAAAAGACAAGGGAAGGAGAACATTGTTCGTCTTGTTATTATGAGAAACGGTAGAACAGGAATGTCTGGTAAACTTTGTACTCGAACAAGTTCGTTGTCTGAAATGCAGAAAGTTTAGCCTAAGTCAGTGTGGAGCAGTGCCGCGTGCCTCGTTGTGCTCCGGGTTTTCTCGTGTTTACACGGTCGCTCTTACGTGCTAGAACTTTAATTTGTGCCATCAATCCTATACGATACATCCCTCTAGCGCCTGGAACCAATCTTGGGCGGAAAACATTATATACTGAGTCAAAAAAGGAGAATTAGTGTGCACTACCTAGCAGAGTTTACTGCCAGAGGGGAATCATAGGCCTGTGTTCCGTGTGCAAAATAATAATAATAGGACTTTTCTTTGTCAGAGGAAAGAAAGTCTCCCTGATAACATTGTGTATACATAGTGTATAGTGTATACTACAGTGGCTCCCTAGTATATAGATGATAAAGGCTAAGTGTCATTTGAAAACAGGTGAATTTGTAAATGAAGTGATAAGCCTATAGAGGCAGGTGCCAGAAGTCGCCAGAATCTTACCACAGTGGTCAGCTGTTCTAATAATCTTTCTGGCCTGCTAGTGTACTCGCGTATAATCTAGTGATACCAGTGAATAGCAGAATACAGTGTTGTAGTAGCAACTAACCAGTATTATAATGGTACTTAGTGGAGTGGAGTGACTTTCATTAGTTTCTTTTTTCTTGAAATACCAGACGTATACTATGAATCTCATATAACCTGTAATTACCAGTGGTCGCAATATACACAACGAGAAGCAATTATTACTACAGAAAAAGCGTCCTTCCTCCAAAATTTCCACCAGTCAACTATAGTGATAATATAGCATTTATTGTGGTGGAGACGAAAAAAAAAAACTAGAAAAGCTAGATACAGCGATTGATAAACAAGGGTTGAGGCTCGACCGTTCGTCACTGTAGGAGCTGCCAGAAATCACCAGCTCTTCAACATGCAAGTTATACTTTTGTATCAATCAAATCACATATTACTCGGGTAGATAATTTCAAGTAGATCCTTCATGTGTTAGCCCAAATCACCGACTAGTATGTTTTAAATAAGTGACCCACTGATCAGATCAGATCGACTGGTCCGAACCCTCGACTGGTCCGAACCCTTGATGGTCCGAACCCTTGATGGTCCGAACCCTTGACTGGTTTCAAACGGTTTCGTTGGACAATAAAGCAGACTGTAAACGGATGGGGTTGTAGGCGCCCTTATCAAACACAAACAATAAATATAAATCAGGAACGTACATGGTAAGCTGTCCAATTAGTTAGAAATAGAAATACAAATAGCTAGAGCTTCATTTAAGGAGGTTATTAATAGAGTATTCAAGAGGTTGCTAGTAGAAATACAGTAAATCAACCATTCAAATCATTATGAAGCTCTGTATAGTCTGCAGTCAATCAAACAAACGGGCTTCCACATGGAATAAATGTCATTTTTGTGGAAATTGGTGTCACGCCCCTTGTGCAGATATCCAAGAACTAGCTACAAGCAGTATTAAACAGGGAAGTGTTTTTGGGTATGCCCAAATGAGGAAAATCTGTGGACTAAAATCACAAGGGTATTAAAAGAGGATAACATCAAAGCTGCTTTCATAGACAACCTGGAAGCTTTCTACAACAGATGGGAATAAAAAGTCTGGGCTGAATGGTACTGCCCTTGATACTGGCCATGTAGTCAGAAACTGTAAGGCTGGAGGTGATGTCCTGGTAGTTAGTAAATGTGGGGCTGATAGTGCTGTCCTGGGAGACAGTAATGGTGAAGCTGGAGGTGCTGTCCTGGGAGACAGTAATGGTGAAGCTGGAGGTACTGTCCTGGGAGACAGTAATGGTGAAGCTGGAGATTTTGTCCAGGTAGTCGGGAATTATACGCAGGAAGGATACATATAAATGACCTCATAGGGGACAGGAGCCGTAGTGGGGAAACAAGTGTAGTCAAAGATAAGATAAAACCAATATTGCAAACTAGAAATACCACAGGAAATAGCAAACAAGAGGACTCCACTAGCTATAATGAGGATATATTACCAAAAACAACTGGTGGGAGCTCCATTGTTGGTGCTAGGGAGGATAGGAATAAGACAGGGAAACATGCACCAACAGGGAATACGGTCACAGAAACCCAAGGCAAACGGAAACCAAGCCTGTGCACATACTATGCACTTGGTATCTGCAGACATGGGAAATCTGGAAAAACAGACGGGATGTGCAACTATGACCACCCTAGAAAATGCCATGCCCATATGACAACAGGAAAATGCAAACTCCCTTCCTGTAAGCTTTTTCACCCTGAAATGTGTACCTCTTCAGTACAGGAAAGACTGTGCTATAACTTAAATTGCCAGGCACACCATCTCTAAAGGGTACAAAAAGATACAAAACATCCAGGCCATGGGAAAACCTGGGTAGCCACAGCCACTCAAGAGGGAGAGGTTTTATAGTGCCAGGAAGGAAAAAAAACTGGCAGGAAATGGCAGAAATCGTACACCAAATCAAGTCATTCCTGGAGTGGAACCACAGTCGATGGCCTCCACTCCAAACCAACAGATACAGATACTAATGCCGGAAAAAAATCCCCCCCCAGTACTAACAATACCACCAGTCCGATGACATTCTTCTTTGCAAATATACAGGGTCTAAAGCCAGCAACAAACAACAAAATACCTTTCATCCGTGGACTGCTTGCAGAGGCAAAGGCAATGTTCGCGGCTTTCACTGAGACCCACATAAAGGATCACTTGGACAACGAAATATGGATCCCAGGTTACAACCTATACAGATGTGACAGAGTGAACAGGCAAAGGGGGGGGGGTTGGCCTGTACATTGCAGAGTCACTTGTTTGCACAGAACTGCTAAATGCCTCAAATGATGTAGTGGAAGTTTTAGCAGTAAAGGTCGAGAAACCAAAACCTAGTCTTGTGGTAGTCTACAAGCCTCCGATGCAACATCCCAGCAATTCCAGGAACAGCTGTTAAAAAATTTACCACTGTCTGGAAAATCTTCCAGCTCCTGCACCCAACATCTTGTTCCTGGGGGATTTCAACTTAAGGCACTTAAAATGGAGGAATATAGCAAATAATATTGTTGCAGTAATAACACCAGGAGGTAGCTCTGATGAAAACTCACACTCACATGAGCTTTTAAATCTCTGCACAAAATTCAATTTAAACCAGCAAATAATAGAGCCTACTAGACTGGAGAATACACTAGACCTCATCTTCACTAACAATGATGATCTGATAAGAAATGTCACCATATCAAAAACAATATACTCAGATCACAACATAATTGAGGTTCAGACATGTATGCGTGGAGCCCCAGACCGACATAATGAGACTAGTCACGAGGGAGCATTCACCAAATTCAACTTCAATAACAAAAACATAAAGTGGGACCAAGTAAACCGAGTCCTAACCGATATAAGCTGGGAAGATATACTAAGCAACACAGACCCCAACGTATGCCTAGAACAGATTAACTTGGTGGCGCTCGATGTATGCACAAGGCTTATTCCTCTAAGAAATAGGAGGAGTAGATGTAAAATAGAAAGAGACAGGCGCTCCCTTTACAGGTGACGGAAAAGAATAACAGAGCGGCTAAAAGAGGTCAATATATCTGAAATGCGTAGGGAGACACTGGTCAGAGAAATAGCAAGCATCGAACTCAAGCTAAAGGAATCTTATAGGAGTCAGGAATCGCGGGAAGAACTAAAAGCCATAAATGAAATCGAAAGAAACCCAAAGTATTTCTTCTCCTATGCCAAATCAAAGTCGAGAACAACATCCAGTATTGGGCCCCTACTTAAACAAGATGGGTCCTACACAGATGACAGCAGGGAAATGAGTGAGCTACTCAAGTCCCAATATGACTCAGTTTTTAGCAAGCCGCTAACCAGACTGAGAGTCGAAGATCAAAACGAATTTTTTTATGAGAGAGCCACAAAATTTGGTTAACACAAGCCTATCCGATGTTATCCTGACGCCAAATGACTTCGAACAGGCGATAAATGACATGCCCATGCACTCTGCCCCAGGGCCAGACTCATGGAACTCCGTGTTCATCAAGAACTGCAAGAAGCCCCTATCACGAGCCTTTTCCATTCTATGGAGAGGGAGCATGGACACGGGGGTCGTCCCTCAGTTACTAAAAACAACAGACATAGCCCCACTCCACAAAGGGGGCAGTAAAGCAACAGCAAAGAACTACAGACCGATAGCACTAACATCCCATATCATAAAAATCTTTGAAAGGGTCCTAAGAAGGAAGATCACCACCCATCTAGAAACCCATCAGTTACACAACCCAGGGCAACATGGGTTTAGAACAGGTCGCTCCTGTCTGTCTCAACTATGGATCACAACGACAAGTCCTAAATGCACTAGAAGATAAAAAGAATGCAGATGTAATATATACATATCTTAGCAAAAGCCTTCGACCAAGTGTGCAACCCATGGCTAATAAGCGCACAAGAAATGCGTGCTAAAGGGTTAACAGGAAAAGTCGATTCGATGGATCTATAATATCCCACTCACTAACAGAACACAGAGAGTAGTCTCAACAGAGTAAAGTCCGAGGCAGCTACCGGTGAAAAGCTCTTTTCACAAGGCACAGTACTCGCTCCCATCTTGTACCTCATCCTCATCTCCGACATAGACATGGATGTCAGCCACAGACCGTGGTCTTCCTTTGCAGATGACACCCGAATTGCATGACAGTGTCCTTCCATTTGTAACACTGGCAAGCTCCAGGTCGGACATCAACCAAATCTTTCATTGGGCTGTTGCAGAAAACAATATGAAGTTCAACGATGAAAATTTCAAGGACCAGATATGGTAAACACGAGGATAATAAATCTTCATCAGAGTACAAATCAAATTTCTGGCCACAAAATAGAAGCGAAACACCAACGTCAAGACCTGGGAGTGATCATGACGGAGGATCTCACCTTCAAGGACCATAACATTGTATCAATCTCATCTGCTAGAAAAATGACAGGAAGGATTAATGAGAACTTTAAAACTAGGAGGCCAAGCCCATGATACACTCTTCAGGTCACCTTTGTTCTATCTAGGCTGGAATATTGCTGCGCACTAACAGCACCTTTCAAGGCAGGTGAAATTGCTGACCTAGACCATGTACAGAGATCCTTCACGGCGCGCATAACTGAGATAAAACCCTCCATTACTGGGAGCGCTTGATGTTCCTGAACTGTATTCCCTGGAACGCAGGCGAGAGAGATACAGATTATATACACCCTGGAAAATACTAGAGGGACTAGTATCGAACTTGCACACGAAAATCACTCACTAACATACAAAGCAAAGACTTGGCTAGACGATGCAACATCCCCCACAATGAACAGGGGTGGTCACTAGCACGTTAAGATACCATACAATAAGTGTCAGGGGCTCGAAACTGTTCAACTGCCTCCCAGCACACATAAGGGGATTACCAACAACCCCTGGCAGTCTTCAAGCTGGCACGGACAAGCACCTAAGTCCATTCCCGGATCAGCCGGGCTGTGGCTCGTACGTTGGTTTGCGTGCAGCCAGCAGCAACAGCCTGTTGATCAGGCTCTGAACCACCAGGAGCCTGGTCACAGACTCGGGCTGCGGGGGCGTTGACCCCCCGGAACTCTCTCCAGGACAAACTCAGGTTATCGACTACACGATGGTCCATTAAAGCTGCAACCCGGCAACTTATCACTCCAGACAAACTACTTGATTCCTAAAAATAAGTATTAAAGTAAACTCTCAGCAATATATATGCTGACAGAAAAAGACACGAAAAATCAAAGAACAGAATATATACATGTGTAAACTCTTCATAAACCATTGTTGAATAGATCATCACTAATAACTGGAATTTTGTTTATCCTGAGCGACTCTTCTTCCAGGATATTTCACAGCGCTGGCACCCAAACCATAAATGCAACAACAACGTTAAGAAGAAACTACAAAGTTTAAATAGGGCAGATAACAGCAAATTAAAGAGAAACGGAATTACGTTGCTATTCCCGGTCGGAGGAATCTAGCGAGGAAAACAACGTAACCACAAAAAACTTACGTTTAAATTCAGTAATTGTACAACCCCTCATGTTCAGCTCTTTCTGAAGAAATAATAATAATAAAAAAAATGTCTTGTTCGTAGGTGAAGGCCGATCAGGTGGTGGACAAGTGGTACGATGAGAGCAAGGAACACAAGTTTGGTGTGGAGCCTCAAGGAACAGTCCTGAAGTCTGGTGAGTCTCGCCAGAATTTTTTCTCACTAAGCTTCCTTAAAGGGAGGCGCCTTGATGTCGACAAAAGACTCTTCATCCAAGCAGTGGGAGCGGCTCTCTTTTCCCCAGGCACTGTATATACCTTTAATGACTTGCGAGAGGTTTCCTAATCAAAGAGCTCGCGTTTCTTGGAACAAGAGCCCTTCACTTGCATTAGGGTACCCCACCTCCTTGAAGAAACACTAAACTACTACTGTGTCACTAAACAACTAAAGCTATTAAATTGGGAAGCGTTATTATGAAATTCAAACAAAAATATTTGCGCATCATAAAGATAAATGAATTGTATAGTGCTAGGGTTGCAGAGTGCACGGCAGCACAGGGAAAGAGGTTGCACAGAGTGCAAGGGTGCACAGAACAGAGGGTGCACAGAGAGCACTGGCGAAACAGTGTACCGAGTGTTGCACAGAGAGCAAGGGTGCACAGGGTACAAGGGTTGCACAATGCAAGGGTTGTGCACAGGGTATCAGAGGGTATTTCACGAGTGCAAGGGTTGCACAGTGTACAGAGGGTTGCACAGAGTGCAAGGGTGCACAGGGTACAGAGGGTTGCACAGAGTGCAAGGGTGCACAGGGTACAGAGGGTTGCACAGAGTGCACGGTCACAAGGGAACAGAGGGATGCACAGAGTGCAATGGAGCACAGGGCACAGAGGTTGCACAGAGTGCAAGGGTACAGAGGGTTGCACAGAGTGCACACGGGTGCACAGGGACAGAGTGGTAGCACATCGTGCACGGGAGCACAGTGAAGCAGAGGGTTGCACAGTGCAAGGGTGCACAGGTACATAGGGTATGCACAGATACACGGTTGCACAGGGTACTGACGGGTTGCACAGAGTACACGAGTGAACAGGGTTACCGAGGGTTTGCAAGAGTGCAAGGGTGCAACAGGGTACAGATGTTTACACAGAGTGCAAGGGTAGCACAAGGTACAGAGGTATGCACAGAGTGCAAGGGTGCACAGGGTAACAGAGGGATGCATCAGAGTGCAAGGGGCACAGGGTACAGAGGGATGCACAGAGTGCACGGTGCACAGGGTAAGCAGAGTGTGTTTGCACAGATCACGGGTGCACAGGGAACAGAGTGATGCACAGAGTGCACGGGTGGCCCAGGGTACAGAGGGTTTCACAGAGTGCAAGGGTGCACAGGGTACAGAGGGTTGCACCAAAAGTGCAAGGGAACAGGGGATGCACAGAGTGCACCGGGTTGACAGGGTTAACAGAGGGTTGCACAGAGTGGCAATGGTGCACAGGGTACAGAGGGATGCACAAAGTGCAAGGGCACATGGTACAGAGGTTGCACAGAGTGCAAGGGTGTCACAGGGTACAGAGGGTTGCACAGAGTGCAAGGGATGCACAGTACAGAGGGTTGCACAGAGTGCACGGGAGGCACAGGGTACAGAGGGTTGCACAGAGGGCACGGGTGGCACAGGGAACAGAGGTTGCAAGAGTGCAAGGGTGCACAGGGGCCAAGAGGGTTGCACAGAGTGCAAGGGTGCACAGGGTACAGAGGGTTGCACAGAGTGCACGGGTGCACAGGGTACAGAGGGTTGCACAGAGTGCAAGGGTGCACAGGGTACAGAGGGTTGCACAGAGTGCAAGGGTGCACAGGGTACAGAGGGTTGCACAGAGTGCAAGGGTGCACAGGGTACAGAGGGTTGCACAGAGTGCAAGGGTGCACAGGGTTGCACAGTGGCAGGGTGCAAAAGGTTCAGGGGGTTTGCAAAAGTGCAAGGGTCACGGTAAAGAGGGTTGCACAGAGTGCACAGGGTACAGAGGGTTGCACAGAGTGCAAGGGTGCACAGGGTACAGAGGGCTGCACAGAGTGCAAGGGTGCACAGGGTACAGAGGGTTGCACAGAGTGCAAGGGTGCACAGGGTACAGAGGGTTGCACAGAGTGCAAGGGTGCACAGGGTACAGAGGGTTGCACAAGGTACAGAGGGTTGCACAGGGTACAGAGGGTTGCACAGAGTGCAAGAGTGCACAGGGTACAGAGGGTTGCACAGAGTGCAATGGTGCACAGGGTACAGAGGGTTGCACAGAGTGCAAGGGTGCACAGGGTACAGAGGGTTGCACAGAGTGCAAGGGTGCACAGGGTTGCACAGAGTGCAAGGGTGCACAGGGTTACACAGAGTGCAAGGGTGCACAGGGTTCAGAGGGTTGCACAGAGTGCAAGGGTGCACAGGGTAAAGACGGTTGCACAGAGTGCACAGGGTACAGAGGGTTGCACAGAGTGCAAGGGTGCACAGGGTACAGAGGGTTGCACAGAGTGCAAGGGTGCACAGGGTACAGAGGGTTGCACAGAGTGCAAGGGTGCACAGGGTACAGAGGGTTGCACAGAGTGAAAGGGTGCACAGGGTACAGAGGGTTGCACAGAGTGCAAGGGTGCACAGGGTACAGAGGGCTGCACAGAGTGCAAGGGTGCACAGGGTACAGAGGGTTGCACATAGTATATACACAGATAAAATATATATAAAATATTTTAATATTTTATATAATATATTATATATTAATATTATAAAATATATATATATATATATATATATATTATTATATATAATATAATATATAATTAACAGGCCATATCCCACCGAGGGAGGGTGACCCAAAAAGAAAAAGAAAGGCTTCTGTTTTGAAAATTAGTAATGTGTACAGGAGAAGGGGTTACTAACCCCTTGCTCCCGGGGGAAGCAAGTGGTTAGTAACTCCTTAAGCCATGCGTGTCGCCTCCTACGACACGCATGGCTTACGGAGGAAGAACTCTGTCGTGCCGAATACGTAAGACTTGCGATTTTGGCTTAAATAACAATGCTCTTCTTGCCGAATAAGGCAAGCGAAAATATGTGTATGCAATAATGTAGCAAAAATCATTCTGAACCTAACGAAAAAATGTATTTTATTGTGTTTGTTTATTATTAAATTATGTAAACTTATCTAAAATATATTTAGTTGGATTAGGCTAAATTAAATTGTTTTTGTTATAATAAGGTTAGGTAAGTTTTCTAAGGTTCTTTTAATACAAAATTATTAATTTTACATTAACATAATTGAAAACAAATATTTTTTTAAATTTATAAGAGAAAATTTTAGAAATAACGTAATTTTAAATGAGTTCTTGCTAATTGACCAATTTACCTATTTGGCACTACACACACACACACACACACACAGTGTCTAATCGACATGTGCCTAGGACAAAATGGTAACTAACACACACACACACACACACACACACACACAGATCCTGAGGAAAGACAGAGGGAACAGGGGGGGTGGAGGAGTGGCACTGCTGATCAAAAACCGATGGAATTTTGATGAGCTGGAGAGAGGAGACAGCGGAGAAGCAAGTGATTACATAGTGGGAACGCTTCACTCTGGGGGTCCCAAGGTGGTAATTGCAGTGATGTATAACCCACCACAGAACAGCAGGAGGCCAAGGCAAGAGCATGACGAGAGCAATAGACCGATGGTTGACACACTGGCTGCAGTGGCCCGAAGAGCTCATGCATGCAGGGCAAAGCTCCTGATCATGGGTGACTTTAACCACAAGGAGATTGATTGGGAGAACTTGGAGCACATGGGGGCCAAGATACATGGAGGGCTAAGATGATGGAGGTGGTACTGGAAAACTTCATGTACCAACACGTAAGGGACACTACAAGAGAGAGAGGAGAGGATGAACCAGCAAGACTGGACTTAGTATTTACCTTGAGTAGTGCAGATATTGAGGACATCACATATGAAAGACCCCTTGGGGCCAGCGATCATGTGGTTTTAAGCTTCGAATACACAGTAGAGCTACAAGTGGAGGGGAAAGCAGGAAGGCCAGGACGAATGAAGCCAAACTACAAGAAAGGGGACTACACGGGAATGAGGAACTTCCTGCACGGGGTTCAGTGGGACAGAGAACTGGCAGGGAAGCCAGTTAATGAGATGATGGAATATGTAGCAACAATGTGCAAGGAAGCTGAGGAGAGGTTTGTACCCAAGGGTAACAGGAATAATGAAAAAGCCAGGACGAGCCCATGGTTCACCCAAAGGTGCAGGGAGTCAAAAACCAAGTGTGCTAGGGAATGGAAGAAATATAGAAGGCAAAGGACCCAGGAGAGTAAGGAGAGCAGTCGTAGAGCCAGAAATGAATATGCACAGATAAGAAGGGAGGCCCAACGACAATATGAAAACGACATAGCAGCGAAAGCCAAATCTGACCCGAAACTCTTATACAGCCACATCAGGAGGAAAACAACAGTCAAGGACCAGGTAATCAGGCTAAGGAAGGAAGGAGGAGAGACAACAAGAAATGACCATGAAGTATGTGAGGAACTCAACAAGAGATTCAAAGAAGTGTTCACAGAGGAGACAGAAGGGGCTCCAGAAAGACGGAGAGGTGGGGCTTCTGAGTGAGCTAGATACCTCAAAGGCAATGGGGCCAGATAACATCTCTCCATGGGTCCTGAGGGAGGGAGCAGAGGCGCTATGTGTACCCCTAACAACAATATTCAATACATCTATCGAAACAGGGAGATTGCCTGAGGCATGGAAGACAGCAAATGTAGTCCCAATCTTTAAAAAAGGAGACAGACATGAAGCACTAAACTACAGACCAGTGTCACTGACATGAATAGTATGCAGTCGTGGAGAAGATTATCAGGAGAAGAGTGGTGGAACACCTAGAAAGGAATGATCTCATCAACAGCAGCCAACATGATTTCAGGGATGGGAAATTCTGTGTCACAAACCTACTGGAGTTCTATGACAGCAGTAAGACAAGAGAGAGAGGGATGGGTGGATTGCATTTCCTTGGACTGCAAGAAGGCGTTTGACACAGTTCCACACAAGAAATTAGTGCAAAAACTGGAGGACCAAGCAGGGATAACAGGGAAGGCACTACAATGGATCAGGGAATACTCAGGAAGACAGCAGCGAGACATGATACATGGCGAGGTGTCAGAGTGGGCACCTGT